TTTTCTAAGACTTTTTTTTTTTTTTTTAAAAAAAATCTGTTGGGGTACCCCCTTTTGTGTTTGGGGGGGGTCTTGGGGGGGGGGCCGGGGGCCGCGGGGCCCCCCCCTTTTTTTTAACCAAACCGAGGGCCGGGGGGCCCAAAAAAATTTGTGGACTCCCCCCCCCCCCCCCCCCTTGTCTCAGGGTCTGTATGACCGCCCCCCTGCTTATCTCAACGTCTGTATCCAGCACTTAGTTGTGGGCAATAACGCAAAATTTGGTTAAAGGATTATAGGCATTTGAAAACTCGACAGCTTCGTCAGAAGCCCATTTCTGTAATCATCCTATGATGTCGCCGTTTTTGTGGTCTCTTGAATTTCAATTCTGTTACGAGCCGAAACACATACTTTTTCTAATTAGAAAACCGGACATTATAAATTATAGATATGCCCTTTAATAGATCAAGCACGATTTTTTTTAAAAGGGCAATCGGTAGCTAGGTTGGTATTTGTGATATTTGGGCGTTATCAAGGGAAGTAATGTCAGGCTTTCAAACAAGCCTCTGCAATTTCATGCTCGAAATTTAAGATGATCATACATTCCTTCACTTCTCTTAAATTGTAACCTTTAGCAAGAAATGTTTGGCTGTTATTTGGTCCTAACCCACAATATATTTTGCTTATCTAGTTAACAAGCTACTAGTCTGTTAAAAATCCTACATGTGGTGACAAAAACAACAGTACTACGGTTATTTCCTAGACTTTTAGAATTCTCTTTCTTCCAAATTATGTTTTGAATTTGCTTATTCAGGAAGTTGGATATTTCCGACCACTCTAAATTAATTAAAGCCGTCATGTAGAAATTCCTCTTGGCCAAGGCTGCTATTAAAGCAAGGTTGCCCTTTCAAGTTCAATTTCAACCTTGAGAGCGTTGAAAGAAAATATCCAAAATCATTTTACAATTTGCGTGGAGCTTGAACAGCTCCGGCCACGAAGGCGAAAACAAGGAAATTGACAAAAAAAAAGCTAGGTTTAAAACTCTGAACGTGAATCACACTTTTTGGTTGATTATGTTATCAAACTTGATTAGAATGGCAATGCAATGCGATCGTTTCTTAATCAGTTGTTTAATCTTGTCGGATCCTCGCTTAATCGTTTAAGATATTAAAATGGCGATCCTCGCAACTTCGATTTTGTCGGAAGCTCTCCGATACAGAGTCTCAGTTCTGTATGAAATTGTTGCTGAAGATGTTTCCGATTTGAATGACCACAGTTATCTAGGACTCTGAATGCAAAGAGGCTATGTTCAGACGAGTCCATTTAGTTTCGTCAACGACTTACGGAAAACATCTTTCCGGTGTAAACGCAACTGCATCAGTTTGTAAACGAACTTCTGTTGACATCTTGTTACTACCAAGGTGTACACACGGTCGAATGTCTTTGATTGATTAGCTTTGAGTGAACAGGATCGACCTGCTCCCAGTTGGCTTGTGAGCTTAATTGGTAGAGCGCTGCACCGCGAACTTATAGGCCTATCCTTGGTTGTCAATGCTCCATCGCGTGATATTCTAGTCGAGTATAGCGTGACCTTTCATCCTAAAATATTAGCAAAAACGTTGTTGTATCAGCGATAATAGTGAAAATAATCGGTCACTTGGAAGCAAGTTCTGCCCTTTTGCCCTTACAGAAAAGGCGTCTCTCGCAGTAAACCACTTGATTTGATCATTTGTTTTTGAATCTTCAAATAGGACATGCTTTTGAAACAGTATACCCGGCGTTGTGGACGCGGACGCTATGTTTTTTGTTTTCGCGTCGCATTCTTTCTGCCCACGCGGAGGTACGGAAAACAGAGATAACATAAATCCAATGAAAATTAAACGTAAGCCTTTTACAAAACAAAACAAACCATCTTCAGGCCTTTTTTTGTGTACAATGTTTCTAAGGGAACCACACACGGGCGATTAATTTTGACAAAAAAACAACAACAACAAAGAAAGAAAGAAAGAAAGAAATTCTACTGGCCAACAATTGTCAAATGCTCTAGTGACTGAGATAATAAATTTTGACTCCACTACACAACATTAACAGACAAAACGTAATGGCAAATAAGTTTATTTTGGGACGGCTTGGCGAGAACCAACCCTACAAAGTACTTATGTAAATACAATAATAGGTGATTACTGGTGAATACCTAATGTACAACACTCGTAAACTAGCTTTCACAAAAAGAAAAAACTCGTGCTACAAATGGTCGCTCTTGACCTGAATCACCCAGTTAAGCACGCAGGCTTAGTGCCAGTTAGGCTGCCAGTTATTCTGGGGAAACTAATTAATAAAACTCTGACAACATATAGCTGGCACAGGGAACACTGTAGGAGCACAGAGGCTAAGCAAAAAGAAAAACTGCTATAACTGGTCGATCTCGACCTAAATCCCCCAAATAAGCACGCAGGCTTAGTGCCAGTTAGGCTGGGGAAACTAATAAATAAAACTCTGACAACGCATAACTGGCACAGGGAACACGGCAGGAGCACAGAGGCTAAGCAAAAGAGAGATTTGCTACAACTGGTCGATCTCGACCTGAGTCCCCCAAAGAAGCACGCAGGCTTAGTGCCAGTTAGGCTGCCAGTTAGGCTGGGGAAATTTAATAAAACTCTGATCAACGGATAACTGGGACCGGGAACACTTCAGGAGCACAGAGGCTGAGTGCCAGGAAAACTGGGAATTATCTCCACTAATGTACCCAACAAGGCACGTAGCCCAATAACCAGTAAGGCTGCCATAAAAGGCTAGGGCAGGACATTGAAAGTAAACAAATGGATAACGACCCTGGCTAGAAGTCTGTAACATTGCCTGCAACCTAACTGCATCAAACGAGACTTATGTCGCCTCCTAAAGAGCGGTTCCTGGACAGCTGACCTAGTTTCTATACATAGAAACTAAATATATCAAGTAAAGGAGCAGGTGCAAAAACTGAGATAACTGTACAAGTACATAAAATAAGAAACGGGAAAAAACTGAAAACTAGCAGAGCTGAGCTACCGCTTACAAACTGAAGTAAATGCGGTCAGACGGAGGCCAGAAAAAACCTGCCCAAAAAAACCCCGAAGGGAAAAAATGCGGGCAGGAAATCTGGGTAGGAACCAAGGCTCAAGCTCAAAGCCCTTCCTACGGGACTTTACAATGTCATCGAGAATATGTTGCTCCTAAAAATAAATAAAACAAAAATAAAGAAAAACCAAAGAGAGGGTGGTTCGTAAGCCTAGATGACGTACACGTGATATACGTAGCCTTATATACCCCCGATATGGCTACCCATGGTGCACCCGGCCTAGTACCCAGGCCCTGTTGTATCTCGTGCCGTCAAAATATTTATTTCTGTCTTCTTCGCGGGCTCATTCGTCAGAAATAACATTTTTGGCAACCCAGCGAACAAAACCAGGTGACACCTTATCTGTCGCTTTTGAATTACAAAAGGTCAAAACCCCAGAGCCTTATTTCACTCGCCACGCAATAATAGTGGCACTCGGCTAATGTATCCAAATTGCTGATTTTATGATGTCCAATTAAGATCTCTGCTGTTAACCTCGAGTTCACGTTTTTTCGCGCAAATATTTTAAAATCACCTTAACACCATGAAGCATATCTGAGTTGCTCGCTTACGTCTGTAAGAGCTAAAAAAGGAATGTCTCCTGCTACGATAGCTAGAGTTTTTGACCTTTTGAGGCGCTTAAAAAAATATATGTTATAATTATACGCATTACACCAAAGAAAACTCAACCATTCTATTCTAGAAAATACTCTCAATTTAAAGAATTCATGTAGTTTACAAGCCTCTTAAATTCCTTTTTAACTCTCTTTGAAACAACATCCCTTTCCCTCAAAATGTCTGACTAACAATTATATGACGTGCTTCAGTTTTGTTTCTTTGATGTATGCGTTCGGGGCTGTGCCCGTATAAACAATGCACCAGACAATGTCTCAGAGAACAGCGTTCAGATTGTGGAAAAAAAAAGATCTAGCCCTTTAAAATACACCATGCCTAACATTTCATAGAATTTTCTAACAGGGATTTTAACTATGTAAATGTAATACTTCAATGGTTCCCCTCAACTTAAGTGCGTGAAGAAAAAAAGAAACAGATTTTGAAAGTAAAATACGGTAAAAGTTGATAGTTTAACATACACCTGGTCTTTGATTTTTCTAGATACGATCTGCCTAATAAAAACAAAAAAATCGATTGCAAAGAATTTCATTTGACTGTCATTTAAGTTGTAACCTGCTGGAATAAATATCATAACAATGAGGCTTGTGCTATGAAGTAAGCAGGGGAGAGGACTTCCAGAAACGCCTCAAAGTAGACAAAGAATTTCTGCATTGCGACCCACCCTCCAAATCACCTTTGAGAATGAGTGCCACTCATGAATCGCGCTGCGAAAGGCACGTTTTCTTTCATAATACGGTTTTTGGAGACAAACGAAAGCGGCGAAATTCTTCTAATAAAACGGAAAAAATTTGGCAGCCAGCCACTTGTTGAGCGTCGCGTAATTTATACTACAAATGATTGTTCAGGTTTTAGGTTAGATCCGGTCGCGTTCACTAACTGTCAATCAACATGATAGCCATATAAAATAGACAGTACCACATTGTCTACATTCAGATCCAGCGACGCTAAGTTCTTCAGTTCACAAGTAGCGTCTTTTTCTTAAGCGTTTGGCAAGCAAATTCCTTGGACGATGGACAGAGCACTCCTTATCGCCTGTCTTGCGCTTTTGGTCTTCGTCGAAGTACAAAGCTACACCCTGCGAGATGTTCTCAGAGACAGACTCAGAGAAAGAGGTACCCCTATATCATAACAGTCTAATCTAACAAGTATATTTATTAGGTTTATCACGGCGTCAACTATGAATCAACAGCGAGAGCGTTTTCTCGTAATTTTCTAATGGCAGGATCTTGGGTAAACAACCTTCAGTTGGTGATTGTATTTTTGCGAGCAAGGAAAATCGTTAGAAAGTGTAACTGTGAACAGTAGTTGTGCTGGTCATGGAACAAATTGCTAAGACTGCGGTGTAAGTATAAGAAAAAAGTAAAATAGGCAAAACTCTGAGCGATAAATATGTAAATATGTTAAAAAAAAGTTTCCTCTGAATTCTATTGTTCCCAACTTTAGCTCACGAAATATTCACTTAGATCCGACGGCGCGCGTGTATTCGAGCGTTGTACGTTCTTCTCAGTCAGCCTAGCGTTGTACAACTTGGCCTTTTGGGGAAAAAAGATATAAAAAAGTGCCGCCATCACGCCGTAATGTGCTGTAATTTTTTTATACAAATAGATCATGATCAGATTTTAGGTCACAAAGGTTAAAAGGACTGATATTCTTTTGCGTGTACTCACGCGCGTGCTTGATATAAGACGCATCCAGACATATTTAGAGTTCATGAATTCTAACTTGCAGAACTAGATCGATTAAGGCAGTCTGATCAACCTATGTTCAGCTCAAACCGTATGTATGATGCCAGAAAGTATGAAGGTGAGGTTAAATAATTAGAAAAATTTAATTAGATTATATTAAGACGAGTCTCAATACTTCAGAAGTGCGCGCGTGAACTAGCGTCATTTGGCGGGAACGTGATAGCTGTCTTCATTACTAGTTGCCACGAAAATGTCGCTTTGACGGAAGCCGGGGACGAAATAGTCTGCTACACAGCCGTTTTTTAGTGTCGTCACGCAACGCTCCTCCCCACTGTGGGGAGGAGCATTGCGTGACGACACTAAAAACGGCTGTGCAGCAGACTAGGAACGGAAGCAACTGATCAAATGTACGTTTGAATTTTTATCATTTTGCGATCGAGAAAGGGTTCAGCCAACCTTCTTCAATAAAAATATCAAAAATAACAATCTTAACTTTTCTGGTGAAAAAAAAAAACAGGTAAAATGGAGCTTTACTTGGGAAACTATTTTTGGAGAAAACGAAATAAAACGCTATAAAGGTTATTTTTAAAAGGTCAAATCTAGCCTGGTCCTCGTTCTCGCCCCTCTCATATTCTCTTCGTAATCTACTTGTTTGAGTCACTTGCTTATTGTATGCGACCTCGTGTTAGCATAGATTGAAGTGATTTTGACGGAACTACTGAGCGACGTACTCCGAAAAGGTAGATCACATAAGCGTTGATAACTCTGAGGAAAAATAAATGACAAAAACTTTCAGAGATAACCAAATGAAAAAGAAAAGAAAAGCTTAGACAACTCATGGTCAAATATAGAGCGTGGCAGTTTCGTTTCTGTAGAATTTCTAGCCTTTATGCCGGTATTTAACGTACTAAATAAGCTCCCCTCCCGCCTCCAACTCATAAATTGTTTTCAATACATGATTTTAACTTTGCAGAACTGAATCGATTTAGGCAGTCTGATCAACCTATGTTCAGCTCACACCCTTTATATGATACCAGACTGCTGCAAGGTAGGATTTTTAATTAACTTCTCGTAATTAAAGTTAAGACTGTTAAAGGTTCAGGGGGGGAGGGTAATCCTGGGAATTCTTGGTGGGGGTGTGCCGCCCGGTTCTCCAAATCCTGACCCTATTTCAGACCAAAAAATGTCATTTTCCACACCCGTTGTCAGACCAGGCTTTTAAAATCCACACCCGTTTTCAGACCTGTCATCATTTAACTTAGATTAGAACGTCAAATAAAATATATTCTTAAAATAATAATGATAATAATCTATATTGAGATGACTTTTTCATATAAAATCGCTTAGAGAAATCGCCCCCAAGATTTGATTTTTCTGCTGGCGCATTTGCTATCTGGTATAATGTGAACACCGTCTAAGTCACAAATCCCAGGACCATCAGTGGTATGGGGGAATCGGAGCAAATTAGGTTTCTGGGAAACTGCCCACCTACCCCTTCCCTAAGCCAACATTTTGCCCTAAGTGGGAAGTAAGTGTTAATGTTAGCTTAGGGGAGGGGCAAGTGGGCAGTTTCCCAGAAACCTTAATAAACATAGCCATGTCCTCATACAGGTTCCTCGATTCTCTTTACATTTCCATTAAAAATTAGCTAGGAGAATTTGTTAAAAGATCATTGAATTCCTCTTTTGGCGATCATTTAATCAACTTCTGTTGACAATGCATTGATTTTGTTAGGCGAAAGTTGATGTCAGCTGATGTTGACCATTCTTGGCACTTAACTAGGGTTTAAAATATACTGATTTTACCATTTCTTCTTTTTTCAGCCATAAATGATATGAGAGAGTTCCATTTAAAACGAATGCTCGATGAGGGAAAAAGTGAACCAGGTAAGATATAAAATATGTGTTACTCTGAACCTCGATCGTGATAATCGTGACGTCATCCACAACGGCCGAATTCTTGGCTGCCAACTAGGATTTTACCGCGAAAGTTCATTTTTATATTTTCATCTGTATGCAAGGAATCTGGTAAGGATGCATTTTTCATGCCTGAAGTGGAAGTTTAAAGTATGTGACAAAAAAACCTTTAGTGGCTTTTGGTACTACTTTAATAGCGAAAACCTCGTTTTTGAGGGCTCAAAAATGGCTTTAATGACCTCGCGCTATTTACGACATCATATCTAGTGGCCATTCCTTAAAATGTTTTCCGTAAGATCGATAGATGGCGGACTCCAGAGGTCCTCCCCCCCAGTAGCAGGAATAGGGTTAATATCACCTTTATACAGACTATCTTTGCGCAGATATAATTAATACTTTGAATACGTTGGTATTTGATTTCGCAGACTGCGAGGATTATCATCCCCATTGTGATTGGGCCAAGGATGAGGGCACCTGCGAGTACCTGCATACAACTCTAACCACTCCTTATGCAAAAGCTGCCAAACACATTGCCAAGGATCTCTGCCGATTTACGTGTAACGCGGATAACTGTAAGTGAAGTTCACAGCCCGGCAGATTAGGGAAATAGGTCCCCGTAGTTTTATAGTAATCGCTCGACAGGCCAGACTGTTCACAGTCCCGTTTTTGGTAAGATCGTTAAGTGAGACTTTGCATTTGCACTTTGAGTTGACTTCTGTAACAAATATCAGCTTAATTGCACTGCAGTTATGCTCTCTCTTTTTTCTTTCCATTTCAATTTCCATTGAACTGTCCATTATACTTAGTTCTGACTTTTTTTTTCTAATTTTTACATAGGTGCAGATAAAATCGGTCCCTCTAAGGTTAAGCCTACAAAGCCTCCTGCGCCAGGAATAAGTAAGTATTCACGCCATGCAGTGTAACTTAGTAATTGATTTGCCTCGTATTAATTTGCAGACATATACATAACTGTTACTGATTGAAATCAGAGTAATAAAAACCTTCAGGTTCTAACGTAACACGAGGACCACTACAAGATCGATAATTGCTCAAATACTAAGTAGTGCGCGCGCGTGAATCAGCGTCATTTTCGTGGGAAAAAGTGATAGCCGTCGCCATTCTACACGGGTTTTAGAAAGAATAGAGACCTTTGTGGGTCGGTTATTTAAGGTGTTTTGCTACAGTTTTTCAGAGGCCGTACCGATATTTTTCAATCGCCTTAAAAGCGGTTTTTTCCTTGTCCGATCGCTATAAAATTTTCACCGGTAATTGGCTATGGATCGAAATTTGTGAAAATGTCGTTTAAAGTAAAATCGACGTTACCATGATAACGATAAACAAAAAACTTTCAAATTGATAAAAGCCGGATTTTATGTGATCTAGACAAGCTACTGAAAATTCAACACTAACAACTTAAAGTTCGGTGTTTAGCAAACAATCTCCGTAAGAAGTAAAAAATTCTGCATGTTTGAATTCGACTAAATCGAAAATGTATTTCAAACCTTAAATTTTCAATAGCCGTGATAGATTATTTAATAAAAACGTTATAAATGACTCAAATTATTCTTAAGTAGCGTCAGAATGCTGCTTAATATCATATTTTGATGCTAGGAAATTTTGGTG